GCGCGTGGTTTCTCGGAGGAACCTGGGCCGCCTGAGTAAAGGCTGCTTGACAGCGTGCCTCAGGCCAACGGTGTTTTGGCTCAGTGGCTGCTGGGTGAAGCAGTGCCCTCAGTGGGCATCTGTGCTGGGGATGGAAAGTGTGGGCAACCCCTTGAGTCACCCAGCATAAATCTGGTCACACCACATTTCAATTATACGGCAACTCTATTTATAAGCTAGGTGGGTAAACAGGCTGTGTAGCTGTACAGTAATTGCACAGGGTTCCTACAGATGATAGAGCAATAATTAACTTAGTAATTGCATGTGCCGGAATAGTCCTGGAACTTCCACTGTGTTTTGGATGGCTGGCATGGCTCCTGCTCGCTTTCTCGCTTCCCGTTTGAGGGAAGAAAGGCTTCGACTGACTTCAACAGATCAGGCTCAGAGCATCTCTCCTCTGTGGATGTTGCGGCTGCTTTACAGAAAGGGTAGCTCTCCAGCTTCCCACCGTAACCAGAACTAAGAAAAGGAATTTCAGAGCAGGAAGACAAGAGAAGTGTCCTGGAGAAAAAAAAAAGGGGGTTGGGGGGGAGGAAGGGGCAAGAAAAAGGCAAAAAAGACAAAAAGCCAACAAAAAACCTCCATGTCTCAGCCTCAGAGAGACAAATCTTGTGAAACACAAAGCTGGATTTGTGTCTGATAAACTGAGCAACTCCCTTTGGGTGGGAGAAAAGAAACGCAGATGCTTTAGAACTGATGCCAATAAGCTCCGAATTTTGGGGAAGAAAGTCAGAATGTCACAGTTCAGGTTGGTTTCTATGAATCTGTACAATGTGAGCAAAATACAGTGCAGGTATGGCTCTTCTTGTCATATAAATTAATACATTCCCATTAACCTTCATGGAAATATGCCAATTTTCTTCTGCTGAGCTTCTAGACCTGGGTCTACCTCCAAGTGGAGGGAGCGGAAGACCTGGTTGCTGGAGTAGACAAGCCGATGTTTGGTTTTGACTGTCCCCAACAGCAAAAATGAATACGCTCATCTGCATTTGAATGCTGTTAGTGATGGAAGTGATGTCCACACAGAGATGAAAAAATCCTCGCAAAGTACAAATTGTTCTGCAGCGTCATCTTTTGGTGCTCCACAGCGCCTGGAAGAGGAGGCCACGTGTTCCAGCTGAGGAGACTGGTCCCTGCCTCCCAGGCAAGGTAGGAGACGCATTCCCATGCGATGCCCACTGCTGCCCTCAAAGCCTGTGTGCTTTCATGCTGCCCGCCGGAAGGGAAACCCCGCAGCCGTGTGGTTTTGCTGGTGGTGTAAGGTCAGCAGAAGACCAGCAGTGTTGGCATAGTGAGCTTTCCTATGGAGCTCAGGTTTGGGGACAGCGGGCTGCTCTCGATTTCTCCCAGACCTTCACTTCTGCTCCCAGATAAGCATTGCTTACGTCTCCCCTAACCCAGATGAGGTTTTTAAGGACGCCCCATCCACCGGGAAGGGGGGTTGTCTGAGGTTCTGAGGTAGGCAGGTGTCCAGCACCCAGGTAGGGATGGTGTGCCCGTGCAGGGTGGCTGGGTGGTACGCCGGTGCAGAGGGGGTTTGTGCACACAGGGGTTGTCACCGGGGCTCAGGTGGGTGCACTCATGTACGGCCACAGTGGTGTTTGGGGCTGGGTATTGGCAGTACGGGGGACACGGGCGCTGCAGGGAGGGGGGTGTCTGTGCCTGGTGATGGAGGTCCATGTAGGCACAGTCCCTCCACCTCAGCCCCTCCTGGACTCTAGACTGCTTTGCTCATTAAAATACTGGGGAAAAGGGATTGCTACAAGCAAAGAGATACCGCTTCCAGCTCCACCTCCACTGCTGCCCCGCGCCAGGAGGCAGCAGGGCTGAGGTCAGGAGCTCTGGGGATCTTCCTCCATCACTTGTGCCGTGGCGTGGATGCTGGAGTGCGTGCCAGGCTGGTTCCCACTGAGAAGGCCCCCTTCACCGAAACCTCTGCTGGCGCTGCAGTTAGCACAGAGGGCAAGGAGACCTACCAGGGCTACCGCTGATTATCCGTGCACTGCTGAAAGCGCCTGCCCTGGCTCCTCCTCACCTGACAGCAGCACCCCCTTCACACCACGCCAGCTGCTCAGAGAGTGGTGCTGAAGCTGGCGGGAGGTTGTCAGCCCCTGAGCTTTGCCCAGGCGATGCACTGCCCGGTGTGTGGATTTGGGTTGGAGAAAGAAAGGAACAGAGAGCAGCACAGCACAGGGGGGTGAAGAAGTGACAGAGCAAAGCCTGAGCCACCTAACCCAGAGCCTCAATGCCCCTTAGGGCCTTGAGCCGCTAAGCCCCAGTCTTAACTGTGACACCATCAAATAGTCTTCAAAAATTAAGAACCAGTCTTCACAGAAACAGGTCATGGGTCCAGGCTGGTTCCAGCAGCTGCATCAGCTCCCCACCACCCTTAGCACTGAGGTTACAGCCTTAGAGACAGCCGCACATGGAACCTACCCAGTTTCTGCTCCTACTCCTTGGCCATAGGGAAGGTCAGGAGAGCCTCTGAAGGTTTCGAGACCTGTTTGGAAAGAAAACATTGGGATGTGCCCATGAAGCTGCCCAGGGAGAGAAGGAGAACATGGAAAGACGCAACCACCTTGCAAGCACCATTCATGAAACATTGTACAGCAGAGCCTGCCCCAGAAACCCCTTTTCTTCACCCAGGCCCTCCTTGCTCTGCTCTTCAGTCGGGCCTTGAACAGTAGTCCCACCTCATCATGCACCATTTACCAGGGCAGGGCAGAGCTGTCTGTAAGTCCACCTCATGAGGCTGAAGATGTGCTTGGGAGAGGAGTGGAGCTTCCATCAGGACATCATGCATCCCAGTGTCCCCAGTAGGGAGGCTTCCTACGTGACTGCTATGTAATGCCCACCCTACCCACTCTGACGGCACCCAACTCTGCTTCGACCCAGGCCCCTGCTTTTTCCCTCTTCCTTTTCCAGGCAAGGGGAGGAGCTCCCATGAAACCACCTGCTGCTTTTATTCCTTGCAGCCAACTGATGCATCCTGCTCCATGGCCAGTGAAACTCCTGGAGGAAAGCACCGCACAGCCAGCAAGATGCTCCCATGGGCAGGGGCTCTGCTCTGAGACATGTGGGTAACCAGACCCCAGCAGGGTCTAGCTGATGGGCATGCCCCATGTCCACCCTGGCCAAGGAGTTGGCACGTGGCTTTGGGTCACGGCTCCATCTCTCTTGACGGAGCAGGTCTTCTAGGAAAGGGGACCAATTGCTTAAGAAAAGGGGAGGTATTTTTCTGACTCTCTGGGGTCAAAGGAAAGGGCGGTGAGAGTTGCATGGATCTGTGCTCAGGAGCATCAGGAAGGCAGATGTAGCTTTCTGTACATAGCCCGGCTGTAATACTGAATTCACTCTGTGACTTCCAGAAAGCTACTTAACAGTTTTCCACCAGTTGTGCCTTCCCTCTCCTCTGCCCCAGGCTCTGGGCATCAGTAGGTGATGCGCATGAACAGGCTCTGGCTAGGGAAGGGCAACCCTGCAGCTCCTGCCTCTTTGGGATGCCGAAGCTCGTGGATGCCCAACAAAGACCAACTCCATGGGAACCTCTACACTCACCAACCTGCTTCTTCCTTGGCCGGCGAAAGCTGGACTGGTTTTAACCTGAGGAAGGAGATGAGTGAAGGGGAAACGAGATGGGAGAAGTGCCTTTTCAAGCGTTCCTTTGCCGCTCGCCTCCCCGTCCCATGGCGGCGTCTGCGCTGACGTCAATGCCGTGCTGTTGATTTGCACCAGCTGAGGGGCTGGCACAGGATCCTCCCTGGCAGAGTGGCTCTGACGTGGGGCGGCGAAGGGCTCGTGCTGGGATATATTCCTGCCCGCACCGCACAGCGTGCCGCTGGCTCTCTGCAGCAAGGCGAGCAACGACAAACCTCCAAGGAGCGGGAGGTGGGCACACCCCGTGCGGCTGCCCGCAGAGCCCCCCACCTTCACCCCGGGATGGGGGTCTGCTGCCCAGCCCAAACCCCTCCACGCAGAGAGAAGGGGAGCGAGGCGGCTGCTAAAGGGGCATCAGCAACACAAACCGCACCTTGCGATGGACCGCCAGCCTCGCACCTCGCTTGCTGCCACTCGCTTGAAAGTGTTTGCGCCAGCTGTGATGCAGCTGTGAGCTCTCGCTGCCTTCCACGCTCTTCTCCTGGTCTTTTTCCCTTGGTGGAGGCTGCAGGACCTGATTAATGCATTCAACTGCAGATGCTCAGTCCCTACACCCATCGGGTTTCCAACACCACGTGGAGGTGACTGCCTTTGCATGCCAAAGCTTATTTTATTGCCTCACAACGAAGCCCACAAAAACATTTTTAACTTGCACGTCGCTCCCACACACGCGATTTGCGTGTTAACGTAAACCTCCACTGGGTGGAAAGCATCCCATTAAACCCTCAAGGGAAAGACAAGCCCAGCCCTTGAGATGAGGGCTGATTTGGGGGCTGAAGGAACACAACACATCGAGCCGCAAGAAGGAAAAGAGGGATACACAGTCAGCAGCAGTCATCTTTACTATGGACCACAGGAGATCAGAAAAATAACCTTGTTAACAAGGGACCTAGTGGCTAACAAAATGTCATGCTATAGGACATACAAGAGAGGCCAAGCACAATCACCAGAACAAAACGGCAACCGAGGAGGAAAGGAAATCCAAGGGTGGTGCGAAGGGTGTTGCAGTAGATGCCCTATAGGAAACCTCTAGTGGTGGTACCAACACAGCTGTGTGCACATCTGTGTGTGCGTGGGGCTGGCTGTGTGGGTTCCTTTTGCCTTTAAAACAAGCCAAAGGGTCTTCACCTCTTACACAACTCCAGTGTCGCTAGCACAATTATTAACTTTTTTTTCAGGAAAAAAAAATAATATCATTTTGTTCCAAGAACTATGTGCAAGAATTGTTTCTGCGGGTACAGTGAAAGGAGGGCAGATAGGAAAACACCCTTCTCAGTGCTGTCCTTGTGACTCGTGCCCTCTCCTCACTGACACCACAACCCTCCCCAGCAATGCTCGGTGGCTTTGCCTTCAGGGAATCCCAAACAAGGCTTTTCAGAAAAAGAAGAAAAAAAAAAAAAAAGGTATTGCTGCTTCTTCTTGTAATATTTTTTCCTCTCTCTCTCCCCCCCTTTCCCCTTAAAAATGTTTACTTTCAAAAATTCCATTCCTGCAGAGATTCCTCCCGAGCTCTGAGGTCTCCGCACTCCACCCTCCTCTTCTGCAGTCAGAAAAACTGAGTCTCGATGTCTCTTTGGTTAAAAAAAAAAAAAAAAAAAAAAAAGAACACAAACAAATACACACAGCCCAGTATGATCCCATTCCACCCCGCGGACGCCTGATGAGAGGGTGTCTGTGGAAGAAGGAAGCATCAGAGACGAGCTGTCTGCTCTCTGGAAGCTGAGGTCCCTTCGCCGCCCGGCCGGCTCTCCTCCTCTCATACGGTGGTCGCTGGCCCGTACTGGAGCACCAGAGGGGATGTCTCCTTGATGCGGACATAGAACCGCCCCTCGGGCCGTGTGGTTTGGAGGGACAGAGGCAAGAAGTCATCGGGAAGCCACCGCTCGCTCTCATCAGAGGCAAATACCAGTCCAAAGTGCTCCAGCTGATCCTCGCCGTAGCAGAAGGCGGCCGAGCCGCCCAGCACACCACGAGAGACGTCGTTCATCTCGAGCACCACCAGCTTCACCACCTCCCCGGCGGACGTCTGGCTGGTGATGTGCAGCTGCGGAAAGAGAAAGGTGGGAGAGATGGATGGTAAGGGGGAGGAACAAGGAGGAACCGGGGGCCAGAGGCAGCACACGGCGTGTCCTACAGCGGTGATCATGAGGGTGGAGGAACAGCTGCCCCAGTGCTGCCAGTGAGCAAGGGACAGCAGCCTGGAATGGAGCAGTAGGCACACCGTGCCCAGGGATGCCCGGCGTGCCCGGGCCCGAACTCATACACCGCTTTCTCGTCTCCACTGCACTCTGTGCCCTTACAGCTCCACTCTTGTACCTACTGTACTACCTTCACCTACAGTTTGCCTGCTCCACTCAGGCTGTCCCACTGTCCCATTACCTGTGGCCAGAGAAGGACAGTCCCAGCCCTGCTCCTGGCACCACGGAGGGATCTGCGTAAAGTCCCTCTTGTAGTCAGGATCCAGACCGTCCGACCAGCGTGCTCTGCCACAACGGCTCTGCCACAACGGCTCTGCCAAACTGGTGGGGCTGAGATGAAGCCTCTTTGGGAAGCGGCGCTAAATTTTGTGCCGTTCACAAGCTTGGGGTTCTCCCACCAACAGCTACCCTCGCTCTCCCTCTCCGCTTCCTCAGGGACTGCCCTCTGAATCCCAAATACGGCTGAGAAAACGAGCTCATCTGGGCTCTGGCTGCTAACGACCGTCGGGAGCCCGCTACTTGACTTCAAAGGCCCTAAAGCGGGACAGCCATCCTCGCCCGGGCAAGGCGACGGTTTCCTTTGGCACATCCGTGCGGGTTTGTGGAGCGCTGCGAGCAGTGCCCTGGCAGGGTGGTCCGAGCCCTCGGCCCACGTGAACCCTGCCAGCTCCGAACAATCATCGCGGGGCTCAGCTGATTTACGCCAGCCAAGGAGCCTTTCCTTTGAACTCGGCTTTCTTCGAGAAGAACATCGTAAAACGCTTTCAAGCAGGCGTGTCCAGAGCTTTGCAACTTCAAAAGCCACGTGGGCAGCCCGCCAGGAACCCGAGGGCTGCGCTTCAGTTGCATAGAAATCTATGGTAATTTCTCAAATGGAAAATAAATACTGCAAGTCAGATTCCCCTCCGCCTCTAACGTCCCTGCTGGGTGCGGAGAAGCTGGCTATCAAACCTCCCCAGCAATAAAACCCGTCAGCCCCATCGGCTCTGTCCTTCCTCTGCCATTTTGTGGGCAGGCTGCGCTCGGGCAGCTCCATCAGCCTCCGCTCCGGGCACCGGGAATGTCGGGAGGGAAGTTTCAATAGGGGAAGGAGCTTCTCAGGAATGACTGAGGGACCTGGGGATGTTCAGCCTGGAGAAGAGGAGGCTGAGGGGAGACCTTATCAGTCTCTACAGCTTACCGAAAGGAGGGTGTAGAGGTAGGGGCTGACCTCTTCTCCCTGGTGACAAGTGATAGGACGAGAGGAAATGGATTCAAGTTATGTCAGGGGAGGTTTAGACTGGATATTAGGAAACATTTTTTCACTGAAAGGGTAATTAGACATTGGAAGAGGCTGCCAGGGAGGGGGTGGATTCTCCATCCCTGGAGGTGTTTAAAAAAAGGGCAGATGTGGTACTTGGGGACATGGTTTAGAGGTGGTTTTGTCAGGGTAGGTTGATGAGACTTGATGATCTTAAAGGTCTCTTCGAACCTCAACAATTCTGTGATTCTATGATTCATGGCTGGGAGCAAAGGAGGTGGCAGGGCCGGAGGGGGAACTGCCCCACATGTGTGCCCTGAGGGACCTCTTCCTTGGAGATGGCACCCAGAGCAGGTGAGGGTGGTCAGAGCTGGGGGGGTCCGGCTCTCATCAGCACAGCCCTCGCGGAGAGGAACCAGGTTGTAAAGTGGCTCTGATGGACCCCAATGCTTCCAGCAAGGAGGCAGCTTTGCCTGCTCCCCTTCCTGCGCTGGAGATGAGCAGCTCCTGCTCGCCATCCCCAAAGGCACACGGGGCTGGAGAGGGAAAGCACAGACCCCGGGGAGGGGAAGCTGTGGGAGGGCCGGGGTCACAGCAGGGGGGTGACAACTGGATTTTGGCCAGGGTCTGATGTGTTTGAACACCAGGACATGGTGAGGGAAACCCATCAGTGTTGGGGACCTGTTGGAGCAGGTCACAAAGAAGACCACAAAGATGCTGCGTGGGCTGGAGCCCCTCTGCTGGGAGGACAGGCTGGGAGAGTTGGAGGGGTTCAGCCTGGAGAAGAGAAGGCTCTGGGGAGACCTCAGAGCCCCTTCCAGTGCCTAAAGGGGCTCCAGGAGAGCTGGGGAGGGACTTTTTACAAGGGCATGTGGTGACAGGATGAGGGGGAATGGCTTCAAACTGGAAGAGGGGAGATCTAGATTAGATATTAGGAAAAAAAAATTACTTTGATGGTAGTGAGCCCCTGGGGCAGGTTGCCCAGAGAAGCTGTGGCTGCCCCATCCCTGGAGGTGTTCAAGGCCAGGTTGGACAGGACTTGCAGCAACCTGGGCTGGTGGGAGGTGTCCCTGCCCAGGGCCGGGGGGTGGAACTGGGTGATCTTTAAGGTCCCTTCCAACCCAAACCGTTCTGTGATTCTATGATTAATGTGACCTTTGCTCACTGCCTACCCGTGCCAGGTGGCACTAACTTACTGTCAGCCCCTGAACCACGGACCGAGAGATGAACCATGGACCGAGAGCTCCTCTGCCTCGTCCCCCAAAAATACCCCACCCATGGCCCTGGCTCGCCCCCTCCACAGCAATGGCTATCACTCCTGCAGAGCCACATGCCCCATCCTGCGCTGCCGGGAGCATCATCACTATTTCAGGGATGCAGGGATGCAGGGCAGGAGTGCTGTGGGTGTCCAGGGGACATCATCCCTGGGACAGTGGAGGATGGAGAGGGCAGTGCTAGGCGAGGGGCACGCGAGCCACACCACTGCCTGTCTCCCCATCCTGCCAGCCCTTTCCATCCGGGCATGGCAGAGCTGCACCGCTGCCCTTTGCAGGCTCCGGTACCTTGACACTGGTCTCTTTGGAGAGTCCGGTTTCGTACTGAGGGCAGACCCGCAAGGTGACAGAGCCCGGCTTCTTCCCTCGGTCGGCCAAGCACCCGGGCTGCTCCGGCTGCTCCTGGAAGCTCTGAGTCCACTCGGCTGAGCGTGTTCGGAAGACAGGCTCGGAGCCCTGCCCGCCCCGGCTGCGCTCGGG